ACCTTATCTGAGGCAAGAAGGGTTCAACCAGAAAACAATGTTACCTGCTTCAACAGTGGTTACCTTATCTGAGGCAAGAAGGGTTCAACCAGAAAAAAATGTTACCTGCTTTAACAATGGTTACCTTATCTGAGGCAAGAAGGGTTCAACCAGAAAAAAATGTTACCTGCTTTAACAGTGGTTACCAAACCAGAAGAAAATATTACCTGCTTCACTTTATTTCTGATTTCCGATTCCTTTTCTAGCTGAGCTTTCTTTGCCTCTTCTTGTTTCTTCGTAAGTGGAGGTTCTTTTATCTCTCCTCTGGCTCGTTTTTTGGCTTCAATCTCCTGAATATATTTTAATATTAGTATAAGTTTTAAATAACAATCATGGAAAATGTTCTTTCTAAATAACTGTTCTCAATTTATTTCTATTTTAATGTGTGAAGGTTAACTCTTTCAACCCAGGCTCAATCCCTGGGACCAACCTTGTAACCATTTTATGCTTGTTATAGTTTTCATGCTATAACTTTTAAATTAGCAAGCAAATGTTAATGGAATTTGGCAGATTATCAGAAAACATTACAATGCTTTCATACCCAAAATATCTTTTTTTTATTAAGTCTTAAGGTTTGTAAATCAATGTTTCTCTCATGCCTTTTTCTTTTCACATCTTGGCATGATAGATAGGAAAGTAATTTTCATTTTAAGATTAAAAATACTTTTATGCACCAGAAAATTTTGAATTTTCATATGTGAAATCTTTATAATGTTGAGATAGTTGTCAAACATTTCTTAAGAAAAAACTTTATGTTTTATGTTATTTTCAGTAATTAATCTCTGTATGGATTTGGTAGATTTGAATGACCCCACAACCATCATAAAAAAATTAGGAAATAACATAAATTATGCCTGTTTCATTCTAGAATGAACACAAGTTATAACACGAAAACATAAATGTTTAGATGAAATAGCTTAAGTCTCATAACAGTATACATTTATATATATTTAGTATATTGCCCTTTCACCCATGCCTGGCTAACAATACAGAAATTACAATGAAGCGGCTCACATGCACTCATGTTACTGTATCAAATAACATAAAACTGACCTTTGGTCTGTACAAAGTAACTTGTCTTGGCTGTGTATTAGTAGACTAGTATTTTGTAAAATACAGTCACATTTCAATTATTATACATTATATATGTATATAGATTATTACTATTTAGAAATAAGTTCTTAAACTTATTTTTATTAAAACATAGAACAGTAAATAAAGTAGTAAAGCAAACAATTATCTCTTCTAGTTATGACCTTTGTACTCAGTTGCTGCTTGACATAGGTTGCTAAAGCCTTTAAAAATTTTGCACATGGAGGATATGAAACAAATTAATGTTTTTTAGGTTTTATATACTTTTGAATAACTAAAAAATCATAAATTACTATGTCAATACCATAGAATTCCACTATAATCTATCAAGCTTAGTAACTAAAATGTATTTTAATCTAAAAAAATATTAAATTTCGAGCAGACTAAAGACACACCCTACCCTATCTCCTTGAAATATTGGTTCAAAAGAAAGAAATGGCATCCAAGCCCGTTAAAATGGCTGAGAAAGCCACTAAGGGGTCATTCTGAGCTTCCGATTGGTTATTCATGTCATATATAGAAGTAAGTATAAGGGAGCATTTCCAAAAATGGAAAGAGGTGAGCAGGGTGCCACTGTGTTTGACTGATTAAATGAGAAATATCTTAGCAAATAGACAAGATAACACATTCTTATTTTATATTCTGGCTTGTAAATATTGGTAATTTGAGTTCCTAATTCGTACGAAACTGTAGATTTTGTGTTTGACTTCACAAACATCTAATTTGAACCAGTGCTGCATTCAATATACCACGTCACACACAAAAAATCAATGTTTAAGTGTTTTTTAATATTTACTTTTAAATTAAGAAACTGAGTAATGTATAGTACTAAAAATTGAATTATAATCTCCAGTTTGATACCAAATGTATTGACAATAAATTCATAAAACAGTAGTTCATTAAAATTTTGAATGCAAGTCAACAAATGAGATGACATGGCCTTTCACCATAGCAGATCATGATAATTAGCTTTACTCTCAAAAATTGTCTGAAGCTAAATGGTGTATTCCTTTTTGTACACAAGTACAGTGGTATTACTTTTGTTAGCTGGTAGCCACAAGTAAATTAAAAAACCAGGAGGCATTTAATTCTGAATTAGACTTTGTTTCTAAATTAAAATTAGCACAAGTCCATAAGAAACAAACATGTCAAATAAACCCACTCTCACAAACAATGGCTATCTACCTTAAAACCTGTGTATTTCAGACCTACTAAGTGGACTCACCCTTTTGTCTTCAATTTCACAAGACATGTATCGTTTCTCCGTTGACTTGGCAATCAGTGTATACTTATCATCTGGATCCCACTTGTTTCTGTATCCCAGCTTCACATCAAGTGAAAGAATTGGTTTTCCAGCTAGAGAAACAAGTAATTTTACAATAAAAACTTTTCCATATAATAAATGTAGCCAAAATAAAGTCTTTAAATTAGTTATTCTGAATTTAAAAGCAATAATGTGATGATGACTAAA